CTTCTATCAGCAAAACGACACCCCTTATGCATACTTCCTGTCACGGTTTATATATAAATACTATTTTGAAATAAACTATTTTTCAAGTGAAATTATTGGTACACGTATACGGAACATCCACGGATTGTACTTAACCTTCTAATGAAATACATTTTTAAATATATTCCACTTAAAACATAATTTTAGCTTTAAATCTAGCTACTAAAGAAATAAATCGAAAATGTGAAAGTAGAAAATATGAAACTCACCTGACAAAATATTTCAGTAACAAATAAAGAAAGAAAAAGGACCAAAATGGCCCCTTTAAACACCACCATTCCTATTCGATTTCCAAATAACGTCCACAATTGTAAGATAAACCTTAAATCCAACGAAATATTTGTAAAAGAATCCAACTTCTTATTACGTTTGTCTGCCAAAACCTGACCCTTTAAATACTTCTTACGAACATGATTTCTGATTGAACCAATATATTGTTGCGACCTCTATATGCAATGTCGAAAAAATACGTCTAAACTATTATACGCATTTGCCAACGTAGAATAAAACTTTGGTTTTATGGAGAACAATATACATCAAAAATAGTGAATCTTGACCCACTGGAAATTGTACCCCTTTAAGTTTTGAATGCATTTCTTTCCATATATATTGTGTTTCGAAAAATACCCCCTTGACAATGCGCGATGTCACTATAGACATCTTTGCTGTCGTCATAATACATATGTTTATAAAGGATATATATAAGAATGGGTATTGTCATTATGTATACAATGTTTATAAAGTGTAAGTATTTTTTTTTATCAATGAATATATCTATTGATCAAACAAGTTAATTGTCATATATTGTAATATTTAACATAATATATCCTAACCAAAATATAACTTGACAACATTTTACTGCCAATGACCCTTTGGTATTTCGAGACTAACAGCATGTACATCTTTTCTTTTTTCAAAATTCACATGCACGCATCGATTTTTAGCGCTAAGAATATAACCCACAAGGCTAGAGTACAGACCTCCAAACCCAAAATAGAACACATGGCTTGTATAGATAACATACCTTATGTTAGAGAAGCACCCGTAAACAAAGCAAGCAAGATCTTAGCGAGCAAACGTCTTACTCACTGATCCACCACGGTTCCATAAATTACTCTAGTGTATGGGGGATGTTATCATAGTGTCTTATGTTAAATGATGTATTTAATAAAATCGGTCACTTGTAAACCAAGTTGAATAAAATGAGGGATGCGAACCTTTTCTTCATGCCGGAAAATTAGTCATAAGCTGGTTACTTAATAGAAAAAACTATGGGGAAAACAATGACCAGGCCAACGATCGCAGATCTTCCGTCAAAGAAACAGATTAACCAATTATTTCCTTGATTACGCGCTTTAAAAGACAGGAGTGGACTCAGAATTGTTGCATAGCGGAGGCCCTGGCTATCCTGGCAAACTATCCCTCACAGCACACTGCTTGTGGTGTGCCTGTCTTCATGGTGCAGAACAATAGAAAGCTAAACACTATTTCATTTCCTTCTTGGCCTCCCATATGAACTCCTCTTCCACATTAAACACACATAAAACTAGATTGGGAGTAAATACGCCTTAGTCTTAAAATATTCGGAATATGTCAAGTCGCACGGGTATAACTAGTGTAGGGTGCTTTGTCGTTCGGACGAGACGAAACATCGTGGTCCATACATATATTCACTGGTATGATTGTAAAGGATAAATAGAAATTGTAGAAGAGTGGGTGGAGGCCACAGAATGATAAATACCATATTTTAGTCTCAAAAAGACAGAGGTCGAAACTTCCAATCCCATACCATTCCTATTATTTAAAATGTTGTTATGTGTTGACTGGTGTACTATAATATATTGTGTGCAGTGAAAGGTTATTATGCCCATAGAGGAGAGTCTAAATTGCTGGGTATTATTTATTGGCTGTTTTGTTTTCAATTAAAGAACGCAAGTCACCCGGTTGTGAATGATTTGCTCTGAATGGGTTTGCGAATCAAGGGCGTTGAGCTAGACAGCAAAACATTGTCGACTGTTTCGTTTTCTATAGAAATAAGTCAGATTTATTACTTATGTGTTTTAAAAGATTGTTGTCGCCATTACAGTTTATTGGGTTATACACGTATTTACATTAATATATTTATTATATGATTTGTCACTTTTGTTTATTTCCTTTAATAATGAATATTAGGCATTTGTTGTTCGTTATCAGTTGGTTTTAAAATAATTTTCAGTTTGGATTGATTTAACTGTTTGATCGGCTATATTTTCAAATTTGATTGTTGTAACCAATTTGAACAATGCAATAATTATATAATTGTGAGAAAAAGTAAAATAATGTAATTATAACGACATTAGCTCGGCTCAGAAAATCATTCATAATCACACCATTTACGTGCTACACTAATATGATCTTGCACTATGTTTGGCATTTACATCGGAGCAGGCTGGAATAAGGAGATAATTCATGGATATACAAGAAAGCCATATTACTCTAAGACTAAAATGAAACGAATGGGGTTTAACGCCCTGGTTAATGAAGGCGAGCAGCTAGGATGAGTTAGACACACACAACGGTGTACTTGCAGAACTAGATCGCCAACCACTGAAATGTTCCCCAGCTTTATAGCGTTTCTCGTATTTCGTACGATCAAACCAATCTGATTAAAACACAGATCCTATTTCGTTTCGTTTTTTATAGTTCAAAATAATTTCGTTTAAATTGTCTTTACTACACTATAATCTGGAAGAGTTGTTATATACTATTCAAAAAAAGTAGGGGATATTTGATTTTTAAGTGTTATTAAAGTCACCTAATGAAACTGACGAAGAAACAAATGACAAAATGAAATGAAGTTCACATTCATCGATTTATTCCAAATGATCGTTAGACTAAGTAAGGCACAGACTGACCATTATAAGGGTAAAATGATACCCGGGGTCAAACAGCAAAGTTACCACAGCATCACAACCAAGTCAGTAACGGGTAAATCCTCCTCTGTTTGCCAAACAAGCATTGATCCGACGTGGCATACTCCTAATGAGACGTCTAAGGTCATTTTGGTCCAGATTGTCCCATTCCTGTTGCAACGCAGCAGCAAGTTCTTGGACATTGGCAGGACGTTGTTGACGTTGACGTAACCTCTGTCCAAGCATGTCCCAGACATGCTCGATGGGGGAGAGGTCGGGACTCAGTGCTGGCCAAGGTAATGTGGTGATGTTCTGTTGTTGGAGGTAACCTGTAACGATCCTGGCCCTGTGACATCTTGCGTTGTCATCCTGGAAGATGAAACGGCGGCCATGACGTCGTGCGAACGGCACAACATGGACTGCCAAGATGTTGTCCCGGTAGTACTGGCCTGTAACACGCCCTGCAACAACATGTAAAGCCGTTCTTCCAGCAACAGTGATGCCTCCCCACACCATAACAGAACCACCCCCAAATCGATCATGTCTGATGACGTTAACGTCTTGGAAGCGCTCGTTTCGACGACGCCACACCCTCCTACGTCTGTCCAAAAAATCAACAGTGAACCTTGACTCATCTGAAAACATCACATTGCTCCAGCGTCGATTATCCCAGTGTTGACGATCCCTACACCAACGACGTCTTGCCTGAATGTGATGATCTCTCAAACAAGGGATCACGCGAGGACGTCGGGCGCGAAGGTGACCCCTATGCAGTCGATTCCGAATCGTCTGGCCACTCACTCTCACACCAGTGTCTGTTTGAAGACGAGCGCTGATCTGATTTGCTGTGATGACACGATATCTCAAGGCCAAGGTACGGATAAATCGATCCTGGGCTTGAGTTGTCGCCCTTGGTCGACCTGAACGTGATCTGTCCTGTACAGATTGTGTATCACGGTATCTGGACCATAGCCTGCTTATGACAGACTGAGAAACATTCATCGTCCGCGCCACAACCGCCTGTGTTGTGTCGATCTGTAGCATGCCAAGGGCACGTAACCTTTCATTTTGGGTAAGCCGACGCATATCAAAATTTGTTTTCTGGTCACTAAAACAATTAAACTGATGTTTCCACCCTGGAATTCAATGCCACAATGACTGTAACATTCAAAGTCAGAGTCGTGCAAATCTTGGGTTGGACCCCCATGATGATCCCAAGCATCACCTGCATTCCATGCGGTAGCTATTGGTGCGTTTGGGCGTCACATGTAACTGGAAATGTTTCTTCTGTTAGGTTCTATAGTGACTTTTTTCGTAGTCATTTGCATATTTTAGTATTATGCCCCGAAAATCAAATATCCCCTACTTTTTTTGAATAGTATATAACCCGCATTCGGGTTGATGTGAGGGATTAGCCATCCTACTAGAAACATTAACTCTGATTGGTTAATCAAATGTCTGACGTCATACGGTCAAAAGCCGATTATGACACATGACGCGACCTCCCACTACAACTGGTGAGATCTTCATGTAGTAGAGGCCATCGGAATTATAACAAAAAAAAACGAAACGAAATATAGATCTGTGTTTTAATCAGATTGCGATCAAGCGATTCCAGATTTTATTTTAACCAACTGAATGTATCAGATCCCCACTCGTCATATAATATTCTAATTCAGTGGTCCTCAAACTTTTTTTTGCCAACGGTTCACTTTGGAACACATGAAAAAATAGCGGCACATATATATATATATATATGAAAAATATTTGAATTTTTTGCTTAATAAAAACATGGTAAGTCAGACGGATACATCCGTAGACAGAGACTAGTCATAGACACATAGAAGGACTCAAACTATATAAAAGAAGAAAACACAGCTACGAACTTATCAGTGGACACCAGTGAATACTCAATTGGGATTACGTTGTTTTTCTCATTTTCTTAGTGTGCCGTTCAAAATTTCGCGGCACACTTAGGAAGATCTCGCGGCACACCTGTATGCCGCGGCACACTGGTTGAGAATCACTGTTCTAATTACTTGTCTAATTAATATATAAAAACATGGAAAGCAATTTTCATATTTTTAATACGAGAAATATTTACAAATATAATAAATTATAACCAACAAAACATCATCTTGACTGAAATACCATGTCCAAGTGCAAGTGAGCATTTTATAAAGGGTCTTCTTATGGGGAATACAATACTACTCGTCTCAGGTTGTCTTTTCTCTATGGCACCGAGAACCCTTAATTGTTACGTCAACGAATGTGAGTAAAGCTTGAATTGTTCGGCGATATTTCCCTAGTGCTTTCTCTGTTTAAATAGCCGTTAGTATTTAGGCGAGACTTTAATTTGTCGACTGGACACAATATTATCATCAGTTGCTGAAACATTAAAAAATAAAATCATATAATCATTTCTCTTGTTGATAAACGTATTGTGTCAAAGGTTCAAGTTAAAGTCATCTTATTTTGGAACTGAATTAAAGACCGTATGATCTAAATCGCAATAGTAATACAAAAATAAACTTCACAATATTAACTGTATTATATAAAAGGCTTAAATACTTACAACCTCTCCAGAATTCATAAGGGTTATTGTTGTCTGTTCTAGGTTTATATAAGTCACTGAAAAATATTTAATAATCGTCCATTTTGTAAAAATATACTAGTACGAAATGTGAAATCAGAATACGACCATTTTCTATTTTATAAAAAAAAACACTAGCAGAAAATACTCCCCCCCCCCACCCCGACTCATAAAAATCCATTTTGTAAAGAAGTACCCTGAAAACAGAAAACAACATTTTGTGTTTATGTAGATAATCTAAAATTTTGGGTTTTGTAACAATAAAATAGATTACTTATCAATTGAAATGGCATTAACCATTTTACTTTTGGATGTAACTTACTTTAAAATTGGTTCATTATCAAGTTTATATGGAGTCATAGTTCGAGTATCATCCGGTGGGCGAGGTGGTGGATTAGCAGGGGGTGCGTGGGGTGGTGCATCAGGAAAATGGTTAATCACACGACCACGAGATGGGTGATCTTGCTGATTAGGGGGCCGTGGACGATCAGAGTTTAACTTTTCGTTGTTTCCTTTATTTTGTTGTTTCTCTTTTAATTCGCCATTTCTTTGTGTGGACGATGTTCGCTTTTGTCCATTTTTTCCTTTGGCCTTTGACTGATTTCGTCCAGGTGGCGGTGTAGTAACGCTGAAAAATATTAAATAGTTTCAATTCACCACTGATCTGTACAAAAAGATGTTGGATATAACAATAGGACGTTAAACCCCATTTCATTTCATTCATTTCATTTAGTGTTTGATAGTAAGGTTTTGACTGTATGAAGAAACTTGTGGCTAATTCACCAACCCATTACTAGTATAATATATTACGAAACACTACTATCCTTTTTGATGTTGCCTCACTAACTGAAATTGTGCCCCTTTATAAATTGCGAACTCTAATTGTTATGTAACCCTGTATAAATTGCGAACTGCCACTACCTTTATGTAATAGATTGGTCTCAGATCGGAAGTATTATAGGAGAATGATGGCGTGGTGTATAAAATGCGAACTGCCACAACCTTTATGTAATAGATTGGTCTCAGATCGGAAGTATTATAGGAGAATGATGGCGTGGTGTATAAAATGCGAACTGCCACAACCTTTATGTAATAGATTGGTCTCAGATCGGAAGTATTATAGGAGAATGATGGCGTGGTGTATAAAATGCGAACTGCCACAACCTTTATGTAATAGATTCGTTTCAGACAGGAAGTATTATAGGAGAATGAAGGCATGGTGTTTAAGTCTCGCCCATAAAGTATACATGTACTACGAAAATCATAGCCTGTCTTTTAACACGGGAGGTCTGGGAGGTCTAGCAAGTCTAGGTATGGATTTGAGAAATAAAACATATTTTAAAAGATATCAACTTACGGTTTTTTGGGGAAGGCCGGTAATTCTCTGGCACAACACAATCTGTAGATAACATAGAAAACTAAGAGGAGAAGCAACAAGCCAAGAATACCGGCTGCTATTAACCATGGTATATTTTCTGGCCGGGAGAAAAAACTCATCTGACCGTCAGGAATAGGAAGAATAGGAGACGTTTCTCCTGTAAATAATGGTGTTGTGACCTCTGTGGTAAATTCTGTCGTTGGAACTGGACACGGAAGTACCACTAATGATACGGTTGCTTGTGTGGTGCTTGTTAATGGACCAGGATCCGTTCCATGGTCAACTGCTGACACCTTTAAGGTAAAATTATAAGCTTTATATCGTGTTCACCACTGACTTTCATAAATGTTATGACTGAAATGCAATCTAGCACATGGATCAGAAATGACTAGGGTAGCGCTGTTATCACTGATGGCCATTCGTGATGCCGAAGGATATGCTGGTTCTATAGAGCTTTATAACGTGGTACTTCATTATGGGAACGTATGTTGTTCCAAACCCAAAGCATCTTAACAACAATTCTGATTAAAAATCTCGTTGAGTCAAGCACTACCCATGTACTTACTTGAACAAAATAACCACCGGTTGGTGGGTTGCCAACCATAAATGTTCTACCATCCTTGGTAACTGTTAGTGGACCACTATTACCTCCAGTGAACCCAAACATACCATTGATACCTGGAAATGGCAATTACTGAGTCAAGAAACCTCACTGTAGAATTCTTCTGGTAATACAGTACCGTACTTTTGCGATCGGGAGGTTGGATGGCTAAATGGTTAGCGTGTGCGCGCTGTATCATAACGTCTGTCATTGAGTCAACTGGCGTGGTTTTGATTCCCCGGTTGTACGTGGCATTGACAAGGAGTAGGGTCGCCTGTCCAACCTCGTGGGTTTTCTCCGGGTCCTCCGGTTTCCTCCCACTGCTAAAGACCCCTACGCTCAAGCGAATTAATGAAATAAAATTAAACCATATGTAAGTCCCGAAATGACCTAGTTTGTGTCGAGTGGACGTTAAACCCCATTTCTCTCTCTCTCACTTTTGCAATCAGGATATTGAACGAAATTACACGAGGTAGGCTACGTACTGAAAAACTATATTGACGGCATTGGTCATTTTAATTATGGGAATATTTTGTTATCCAAGTTTAATTTCGACTACTACAGACATATGCTCTACCGTGATTAGCTAAATGGCAGCTGGATGTGAGAAAGATTCTCTGTCTCCATGGAAATACATCCGAAACCATTAAATTATACAAACCCCTGTCGTTGTCGAATGCCACCATGGTGCCCAAAAGTTCTGTGTCGTTACAATCCATTCTAAGGTAGGAATATCCTGAAGCTCCAACTATAACTGGTCTATTATCATTGATATCTTTTATAGTAACTCTAATTTGAGATACTGCTGATGCTACTCCATCGGATACCTGTATGGTAGAGAAAATACATGATTAAATAACTACAGTATATCGGATAACAGAAATAAAAAAAATATGTTCCAGTGAACAAATCTGTTGATAAAGGAGCTTAAAAGTCCTATATTTTAGTTCCAATCTGCCTAATTTAGCTCCGTGATACGTTCTCAAAGAATATACCAACGTGGGTGTTGGAGACGAGCTTCTCGAATATCATTCATAGTACTTGGAATTATCTGTCGTTAACTCAGACTAGTGCACTTTGACAACCTCCTCTTAAGCTTCGTTTGGTTGTTTACAGCATTTGCTGCTTTTTAATTATCTGCACGTACCACATAGCTTCACTGTACAGGACTGGGCAAAGTTGTCTGAGAGTTGTTCACTTTCCACAGGGACGTAAAACATTGGTCAAGATTCAGTTACTTGCGTTTATCGCTCAAGACAAATTACGAGGTTAAGGAGAAGATGTCAAAAATATTTTTTCTTAATATAATAGCCTGCTTCTGTACAGTATAGGAATGTTATAAAAATTGTATATGCTAACTAATATCAAACAGAGGTCGTTGGAATAGGCCTTGCTTATTATGTAAGCATTTTAAAATTGCAATAGAATAAAAATATGTCTAAAAATATATGGCCGTTATCACTTCATAGTGACAATAATGCACACGATGTTTACCTGCACATCCAAGATATAGTCCTGAGACTGGACATTCAGAATATCTAAATCTAGATTACCCAGTGATCTTATTCTACCGGTATTAGGGTTGATTGCAAATACACTACTGGCAGAAAGAAAGGAATAAACCAATCTATCACCTCTATCTTCATCTATAGCCACAAAACCTGGGTCAAAGTTCACCTGAAATATTAAAGGGCAAAATTACGATCTGCATTTGAATTGGGCCAAAACAGTAGCGTCGATTTATTAAAATAATTTTCTATTGAGCCCTTTATGTGCTTAGGTCATTGAGAATAAATGACTGTACTCAGCCATCGACAATTCACGCATACAGGAGGAAAATGTAACGCTCTTTCAAAATGGTAATATAATCGGATACTGTTTGTTATATTCCTGGACCCGTCTTCGTTAGCCCAGTCGGAGCAGAACATTAGGACGTTAAACCCCATTTCATTTCATATTTCCTTGGAAAATAGGTCAATAGGTCAACCCTTTTTAGTGTTGAGATAGGGTCCGCTTAGTTTAAATTTGTTCTTAGTCAAACTGATATCTAGGCCATGTATATACGTCATGCTGAGAGAGAGAGAGAGAGGGAGAGAGGGAGGAGAGAGAGGTTGGGCAGGCGACCCTACTCCTTGTCACGTACAACCGGGGAATCGAAACCACGCCAGCTGATTCAATGGCAGACCTCATGATACAGCGCGCACGTGCTAACCATTCGGCCATTCACCCCCCCCCCCCATGTTGAAAACTACCAACTACCACATTTCTTTTTTCCCCTTGTTAGAAAACATGGCCCTGAGTTCACAAAGCATTCTCCGATGTAAGTTTAGAATTTACTCAAAATCGTTGGCCTTATTTTAACTAAAATATAGCCCTTTATAAGACTTTTGTGTTTCTGGATCAAAGATATTTCTCATAAACAGTGATTGATAGTTGAGTAAATACATAACTTAAGTCTGAGAATGTTTTATGAACTCGGGGCTAGATCTCACCTTTTTAAACATGAACAAACAATCACCAATTTTAAATTTCACGAATCCACGTTATGTATTATGCTGCTGCTGTGGTCGTTACCTTAGAAGGATGTGCTTTTGCGGACTTGTAAGTCCCGTGGACGCCATCTTATAATACTATTTTGCTGTATCGCGTGACCGAACTTTAGGCAAAACATGTGCACTGGAATTCTCTCCTAGGAAAAATATCTTCCAGCGGTAATTACCGATATTTCCCTCTGGTGAACTCGTGTTCACAGAAATAGGGAGGTAAACAACATTGTATAACTTACCATGCCCTCGTTTTCAACAAATATAGTTGTAGCCGTGGTAAGAGTAGGGGGATCGTTAACATTGTCAACACTGATGCCCAGCCAGTTAGAACCAACACAGAAACCATCCTGTGTATATATCGTTAGGTTTATAAATGTTTCTTCTTCATAGTTTAACTGTTTAGATAATTCTAATACATTTGCTGAAATGTAAACACATATGGCGTTCCGTTTATTCGTTTGTTAATTAACATAAACGAAAAGCGCACTAGGCGGAGCTGATGACGACAGCGTAACAGTAACACAGACCTTGATTAGACAACTAACTACCTGGATAATCTGTGCCTTCTAAAACATTTCAAGGAATTTTCTGTATCACATGTTTTGACTGACAGTCTAATCTGGAGTGGACCAATATTCATCTACGGATTACTGACGTCGACCAACGTCCTCCAACCGGGCTAATACCGAAGAGGTAATGAAAATATCGGAAAAATAATTAGGAAAGAAATATGAAGAAACGAACATCCGAAAAATGGTTAGGAAAGTAATATGGAGCAACAGTTATTGCCAGAGGCGTAGCCGTGAAATATATATTGGGGTGGGGGGGGTCCGCAACCCTAACCCCTAACCCTAACCCTAACTCATTTTTAAAACCCCTAAAAAATATAAACAAACACCATGTGGCCATGCTGTCTACCAAGACACCGCGTGCAAAAGCATTATGGTTACGTTGCTGGCTGAGCGGGCGATAAATATTTGGTTTAGGCGATAATGTTTTTGGGTACCTACATGCGATTCACTCTGATAAGTGGCAGAAAAAAATTAACAAAATATTACTGACAGGCTAACTAGACACAATTTTATGGAACACAGTTACTTTTCACTTCAAACATGTTTCCAGGATGATTCTCTCTGTGTTTAATTTTAGCAATGTAAACCATATTGGGATATGTACAGGTTTTATACAGATATAATCTTAACTAATCCTAATAATTGTTGTAAATAAATAGGAGTTTGGGCCTACTATGTAAATTTTTTGGGGGGGTCCAAGTATATTCAGACCCCCCCCCCCCAGAAAAGCCTATGGTCTTATTCGAAAGTTGCGTTCGTACTGAATCGTTGCCCACAACAATATAGCACAATAATAACACCATTTGTTAAAGATACTTTATGGGAGATAAGATAAAGAGATGGCAGTTCTCGCTATAATAGTTAAAAACTAGATAGTGTAAAGGTAATTTGCTGAAAATTTCAGTCAAATTGATCCACTATGAGCCGAGAACGAAGCGGGTGAAATTTTCGCATAGTCTCGGTCATCATTACTAAAATCATTAATATAAACAGCATAGTCTCGATTATTCACTGTTTTGATTTAATTATCAATGGCCGTTAAGCGGCATATAGGAATCTAATCCAGCCAACATCGAATGCTAACCTTAACATCGAGATTTTATTATGGTCTGGATAAGTTAATTAATGTCTAATTGATAATTTAGATAACATTTCAGGCCTAAAGAAAGATTTGTAATAAGCAGATTTTTGCTCTTGCATAATGCATGTTTAAATATATCAAGATATCTGTTTAACCCAATTTCTCAATTGCAACAATATAACAGGATAAGAAGTTTTTCTTACCATTAATAGTGAAATAACTATTATATCTTGAGGGTGCTGCTTCATAATTATATGAAACTGTTGTACTGGGTGTAAGTGTTTGTATAGCTGTCAATATTGGAGTTGATTCAGATACAAATATAACTTTATTTATATTAGTTATGCTGGGTGGCTCTGGTACATCTGAAAATATAATGGTGAAAATGTCGTTTCAGGTTACACCTGAAAACATATGGTCAACTTTAAGGGAATAGTCGAACCCCGTATACATAATTATACTTTCAACACATAATAATTAACCGCGGTGAGAACTATGTAATCTATCAGAAACACGCGTACGAAGTCATTATCTCCTCTAGATGGACCAGAAAGAAGCAATCAGTTTAGCTGGCTAGTCATATCTAACTAAATAACATCTTATACAACATGGCGATACTTTGACAGGTGTTGCATAATTTTTTAATAAGGTCGATAAGGCAAATTTTTTCTTACTAATTGTTTTATTTCGAAAGATTAAAAGATCAATCGTATCGATTTTTTAAACGTTGTTGTTGACTATTAATTTGTAATTATTTATTGCATTTGTACGCTTGCACTTACTGGAAATTCCGAATGAATACCGCAGCGGTAACTCCTTCCCAACTATAAATTAGAGGTGATGGGTGCCTGGTTCTCCCCATAAAAATCAAGTGCCCTTTTAATCCACAATACTGAAAGATTGACTAAATATTCAGGGACACTATAAGGCCACGACCCACTCCTCTCACCGCCTTCTCAACGTGTCAGTATTGATTTTGTTTTTCAATTCGTCCTACCTGCAAAATGTAACTCCGTTTTTTTGGTGTCTACTACATTAGCATTGTCACGTACTGTTATGTCTAATATCGTTGGTGACGTAATACTACAAACTTGACGTGTATCTTGCTTTAATCGTATTTGACCATCGCCTGAAAATGAATTTTAACAATTTAATTTATATCCAGGTTAGCCATTTCGTGACTAATTACTATTTTTGGTTTATGCACCAATTAGCGTATCTCGTCCAGGCCGATGTCGCCATGATCCAATGGTTAAATTATAAACCACTGCCAATACAAACAGCTTAATGGATAAAATTCCAGGGTAACGGTTCTTCTTCATCATGGTGTGTGATACCTTGTCTAATTTGACCATACCGTTAACAAATCAGCTTCTGGTACCTGCTGTTGTAAAACAAAGTCTGCTGGAATGGAATAGCTGTCCCGACAACACCATATTTCGACCAATTTGAGACTAACAATGGTTGCGTATGAAATGTAAAAACGGGGAGGGTGCATGAACCGTGGCGTGTTCGCCCACCAACTAATTGGTGAAAATCCCGAAGGTTCCTCTCTGCTCTCGTCGAGAATTCAACCCATGGCATGTTCGTTGGGAGTCAAGGGTCCTTCTGCTCAACAATAATGTTTAATCAACCCCACAACTGACACGGGTCACATTTTTTGGTAAAATCAAAAGTTCATACTTTGCCCTATTTCAAATAATCCTTGATCAGGAGTAGCCGTCATAAAGTATGATAAGACGTCATCATTTGTTGTTACGTCAGCATCCTGGGCGTTGGCCAACAATATCGTGGTACCAGCCGTAAGAGATTTGGTATTAGATATGTCACCTCTATCTGAAAAATGAAAGGAATTAAACCTCTTTGATTTAGGTCAAATAAAGTTTTAAATTGGGCTGATCTGTGGTAGAGGAAAACTCCTTTCGATTCGGCTTCTGTTTACTTTAAACTCGTTTGCAATCTGATTAAAACACAGATCCTATTTCGTATTCATATCATGGACAGAACTGTCGGTAGACATTCGCAGCGAAAACAAAGCAAAAGTGGTATTTCCAAATACCCACTTGAAACATCAACTCTGATTGGTTAATCAAATGTCTGACATCATAGGGTCAAAAGTCACCCGTATGACCCCTGACATGACCTGTCACTACATCTTGTCAGATCTTCATGTAGTGGAGGCCATAGAAAGTATGAAAAAAAACGACGGGAAATATAGAGCTTTATTTTAATCAGATTGGTTGGTTTGTCAGTAATCTTACTTTCAATTTTGGTTCAACTGTAGACAGTAATAAACACAATTTATTATATCTCAGCATCGATTTACGGAAATAATAATAGGATTAATAATGTGATTCATATTCCCGGTTTGTAACTTACCAAACGATGAAGGAAACCTAGGTGGCTGGTTTGGTATGAGATGTATATCTACTATCGTTGTTGCTTTATCTGCTGTATCATCTCCACATACAATAGTGATAGTGTATTTCTGTGTTGTTTGATATGAAAGTGGCGCTCCTTGACGTGGTATAAAATACATGCAGAAATCTATAAAACCAAATACATGGCACATTATTTATTATTTCATTATAATAATGACAAATAAACCCCACAATTGGCAATTGTTGATTTAATATTAGGCATGGCAGATTTATTTGTCCACAGTTCGTCTTTTCAGCAGTAATATTTACAATTTGTGAAAAAAAAAGGCTACGACGAAATGTAAAGTTCCGGCCAGCTTCACGATCTTAATATGTGCTTATTGTAACAAGTCTTGTGCTTATTTTAACCATTCGTTTGTTTATTGTAACCAGTCCTTTGCTTATTGTAACCTTACGTTTGTTTCTGTACCCCCGCCCCCCCTCCCCCCCCCGCCCTTACTGTAATCCTTTATTTGCATATTGTAACCATTTCTTTGTAAAACAAATTATAGGTCCCACTGATGCGGAGAAAGCATCCCCACCCCCGTCTAATCTTCCTTATTGGCATTTAATGTTCATTCCATCATCTGCAAATTATACATACCTTCCTTTTTTGACTATATAAATATCACCTTTTCTTGCGTGGCTGACCGCCACAAAAGTGTAAGACTGATGAAGTCACGTTTCTTTTTTAGTTTTCTGCAACATGTGATAGGAGTTAACTCCTCTTGAAAATGCAACAGGCAATAAATAACTTACCTAAAGTGGGAGCTGGATTTTTATTCCACAAACCGAAACATCTCGGCCCACACGGAATTGCTGGCGAAACGTCCTGTATTTTAATATCATATGGCTGACCTGGTGTAGTCGGGGTACATGTTATACAACCCAGCTCTGTTTTTTTCACTGTACCCTCAAACAGGTTGAACACAATGGGTCGATTGTCTATAACAGGCACCTGGTGAAAGATTAACATGTTCTCCTTTTTAAGAACTACATTTTAACAGGACAAGCAAAAGAGCACAAATAAGATAAAGAAATGAAATGAAATGAAATGGGGTTTAACGTCCTACAGTTCTGCTCCTAAACTGGGCTAATGAAGACGGGCATACGCCATACAGTGTGCTATGAGGTAAATTTTGCCCGGACAGCGGCACTACGGCCTACTCTTATATCGAATTCCAACTACCAAGGGATCTTTTACGTGCACGCCAATGTGTACACGGGACCTCGGTTTTTCGTCATCCGAACGACTAGACAATTGTCCTTGTCAGACCCTCCGTCCTGCATCCCTGACAAGGGGAAACCACGCTGGAAAATCTGGATGAACTTTCTCGGCCAATGCAGGGATCGAACACCCGACCTCCATGCTAGCGAGTCACCGTCTTACCCACTTAACCACATGGTCCCCAATAAGACAAAGAAGCCGAAACTAAGAATAGAAAAAAGTCACAATAAATAAAACGGTTAGTTACGTGAATTAGGTTAAGAACCTCACGTCCACTACCGCGGAACCCTTCTCCAACACACATGTGCACGACACCGCACCATTACAACTTGTCTCCATGGCATATTGCATGCAATATAGTCAACTTTAATATCTGACAATTTCCATTTAAATTAAATTACAAGTGAAATACTTACAGCTAACGATATATTAAGATAAGAAAGAATATACAACGTATTCAACAAAACATGCCTATTTTTCATTCTTCAAATTATCCCTTCTAATCTGCAAATGAAATGTATAGTTGCTGTTATCGTTCCAAACAAGTCTTATTCTAATCGACTTCTAAAAACTCAGTTAAGGGCATCAATAGTAGTCAAATGGCGTGGTTTCGATTCCCCGGTTGTACGTGACAAGGAGTAGCGTCGCCTGTCCAACCTCGTGGGTTTTCTCCTGGTCCTCCGGTTTCCTCCCACTGCTAAAGACCCCTACGCGCAAGCAAATTATTGAAATAGAATTAAACCATGTTAGTCCCAAAATGACCTAGTTTGTGTCAAGTGGACGTTAAACCCATCTCTCTCTCTCTCTCTCTCTCTCTCTCTCTCTCTCTCTCTCAACACTTTTTTCTCAACACTATTCAATATCAAGAGGGTCATTACAGCTTAATTTAGGCATCAAACGTTTAAATTGTCATGGGTCCCTATGGTGTCGCTTATCATTTGTTTCAGCGGATAGAATGGTAAACAACCTATGTAGTCTTGGATTGTAGACTTGTATACTGTTTCAATGCAATTTTAAGTATATAGACAGCCCAATGACGTAGTAAGATATGATTAAAATTCTATTAAATATCAGATAACACTTACCATCAAGACGATGTTTTTCATGTTTGAGAGACGCATATAAATCCTCCATTTCATATAGAATGTCTATCTTTTAGACTTAACCTGATTAATATACTATTTTCTAATTTCCGTTCGCCATTTTGAAATACGTAAACCATATAGATACTTCAGAAATGTCACATATTGTAAATACACCATTCAGTTTGAAACTTTCTTTATTACATATTTATGTAAGGTTACCAGTTAGTACACGCATGTAAACAGATCGAAACCCGAGGATAAAAGGGCAGACGTTTAGCTTTCACTGACTACTCACTTATAGGTTGAATGGATACATATTATGTTTATACGTCTAGAATAAGTATTATTATTCGTTAGAATATTTCATTGTGCTACACGGACAATACAAGTTTACAAATACAGATTGCTTCTGTCATATATACACATAGCTAAAGAGTAAATTGATGTGTTTCATGCACACCTTTGATTACAAATCGCAATTTCGCCCATGATGTACAAATTACACGACTCCTACTGTTATCATATTATACTTCTCATCCAGCAAAGAAAATTTTAATTTAAAAAGACACCCCTTGTGATCGAGCTTATATATGAGCGCGAATTTGCGGATCGCGCGGTAACGTTTTCTTTTTATACCGAAATGCATTATAGTTGTTGTAGACGGACGGACGCTAATTTGTTACCCATTACTTCTTTACAATATGTCACTTTCTAAATTCAAAAAATGTATACCGTTCGGTGTTTCGCAGTATATCGAGCGCCCACACCCTTTACAAAAAAATATTAAAAAAAACCAAAAAAATCCTCAAAAACCTAACAAAACAAATGAGTATATTATTTAAAATTGAATAAATAAATAAAGAAAATCAAATCAAATTTTAGCCGGAGTGAGAAACTACACCACACTCACCTCAGTTGACATAAACAAATGATCAATATGTTCCCCGACAAACCAACACGTCCATGCCTAATTTTGTAGTAATTTCATGTTCAAAATGAATTAGAAACTGTCAAATGTATGTTTTTGAAACATGTGTTTTTAAGTATTTTCTGGATTTTTCTATTCCTTGCCCACTGCTGTCCCAAAGTAAAGGAAATAGTCTTTTCGTGTTTAATTTAGAACTGTCAATTGTGTGTTTTTGGAATAATTTTATGTCTAGTGGTGTTTACATGTGTTTATATATGTTTTCGATTTTCATTTCCTGTCGCCCTACTCGTACGGTGTAGGAACTAACATTTACGGTAGTCTAATAAATAGTTCTCGACAAGCAAGACTTCCACATCCCGAATCACCTGTGCGCTTTTCTGCGTCCGATTGGCTTCGCCCCTTCGACCATGAGGACGCACCCGCCATCACACAAAGCACTATGAAAAGTTAGGGGCATCTGTGCCCACACCAATTCAAATTCCAACTGTTAATACGAAAGCGAATGTATATATGGACGGTCATCATTTTGTACCATACAAAACATAAGATAACAGTTTCCATGTCTGCACCACATAGGTATGTTACCCCTATTCGGTCAGGGCTAGAGTCGGCAAAAAGAGACAATGCATTTAGTGATTTTGTGACCATTCACAGGTCCGGTGGTTTGGAGTGCAATTGGGACAACCCATATCTAAGTGTTTACGCTGGGATTGGGAGATCATTGTTTGATAATAAATGGCTGTCTACGCAATGTGCCTTTGCTTCATAGTTCAGATATATTTGTTCCTCCACCGTTCTCTGATACATGTTAAACTCAATACCAGTTTGTTATACTGGTGCTAAAGTAGTTCCTCTCCACCGTTCTGGTACCAGTTTAACTCATTTTCCAAATTCGCTATAATGGTGTTAAATCATGCTGACATATACAAACAATATTGCGTCCGTTAGCTCCCTTAAGAGTACATCGAAAATATGTATCAGATAGCCAGCTGTCTTGCTTAAAGCAAACACCGTAAAGTTAAATAATCACGTTTGACTATATAATAGAGGGCTGTTCATTTTATTGTCTACCTGAACATTTTGAAGATGTGAATCCACAGGTGACGACCTTCTAGATTGTGTTTGTTTTATTATAATTATACTTAACACATAAAAATGACGTCAATGATTTATTAGTTAAATAGGATTGATCTGGATTTCTTTTTGTATAAATACCAGGCTAAATCTGTTAAAATATTGTCTTTAAACTATTAACTGTCAGACAAAGGTAAGTGTTTTTTCTATAAAGTGTGTGATCTTCAGTTGTAACGGATTAACGTTCACTCGACATAAAATAGGTTATTTCGGGACTTACATATGGTTTACTTATATTTCAAAATTTCGTTTGCGCGTAGGGGACGTTAGCGGTCGGAGGAAACTACACCGGTTGCCTGTTCAATCCTGGATCGGATTCAAAATATTAACTCTTGTCTATCTTTTAAAATAGATCATCCCATGTACGATCACTCAGTAAGGAAAAAAAACGCTGTTGCATTATACGATCTCTTGAAATTTTACGTCCCATGTTCACCCAATCAGAAAAAATCGCTGTTGTGTTACATAATGGGAGTTAAAAGTCTTTTGGTATCGATTCTTCCCTGCATGAACTAAATGGAATAAATTACCTACAAACTGCCACAGCAGGCCGACCTGAATCTAGAAAATTTCAATTAATGATTTAAGATGTACCCCAGTTCCTTGGCCAAAGATGTCGACAGGTTATTTATGTGGTCCGAATCGTATCATATATGCGTTGGCTTCGACGTCTTAAATGCAATATTACTCTTAGGAACTCTAATACCACATCCCATTTGAGGATTTCAGATGGCTAACACCTTTGGTTGTATGTTGATATCTATTGGGCAAACGAAATGATTATTCGAATATCCTTAATAATGAAAAAAAAACAAAAAACGTTTTGACTATGATAACTACGGTCGCTTGGTGAGGAAATATTTCCCACAATGCTTCTTATAGCTATTATTTTTTATTCTTATCTTTCAGTGGTTTGATCAGTTGTTAATTATGAATAGTTTGTCGTTGTTGTTGATTGTAGGAGTGGCCACCGTTGTCATGACAATGACAAATGCAACACGTAAGTTTGAAACCTATCTTCATAACATGCAAAGCTTCTTCGCAATTGTGTCTTTAGGGCAAATGCCATGCTATAAATTCAGACGTGAATCTTTTTAAGTAAATGGGATTGGCTAATAGAGGACTAAGATGACATAAAGAAATTACCAGATTTTAGATCCAAAATATAACCAATATCCATTTCATTGTCTTCGGAACATGTAAATCATGGTCGTCTTTGCATTCGCAGTCAAGTAAATTAACTTAATAATATTATTAATTTATCTTATATTTCCAGCCGAATGCCTGGAAGGAGATGCTTGTTCAGACAGTTCTGTTACTAGTACCGTTAATGGACGACTATTCTGCTGTCCAAATAATCAAAGTGTTAGCGCCTCATATTCAAACACAAATGGTGTGGTTACTGTAACTTGTACCTGTGGTAGTCGTGGGTTCTTTAGATACCCCCGATTCCCTAAATTTTCTAGATTCTCGCGATTTTCTAGAAACTAAGTTGACAAGTGTACATCTACATGCATAAATAGGATAGTATGAAAAAAAAATAGAAGTTTTGTTGTTTTTTCTTTATCAAGAATCCGACTGTTCACACGGCTTACTCCCTATTACAGGCCCATTACCTATTGTCAGATGACAGGTATCTCTGTTTACTAAAACCATAATATTTCCGGTAATAAAAAGAACCTCAAATCTGTTAGATACATGGTGTATACAGATCAGCTGCGGTTGCTCTGAGCGTACAGCGTTCGATCCCTGGGTTGGCCGAGAAACTTCCTCGGGATTAACAGGGGTGGTTTCACCTTGTCAGCGGTGCAGGACTAAGGGTGTGCTGACAAGGAACAACGTCGAATTTTTCTGATGTGCTAAAACCTGAGTTTCAGTGTACACATTGCCTTGTGCGTAAAAGAACCCTTGAAAATTTGGACTCGAAAAAAGAGCAGGCCAGATGTCCAGGCCAGATGTCCCTCATATCACACTGTATGTCATATGTCAGTCTTCATTATCCCGGTTGTTGCAGAAAATTAGGAAGCTAAATCCCATATCATTCATCATGTTCACAACTTGATCTTAAATGTCAATATATTATTTTCCTGATATAATTGCACTTATCTCTTAATCATTTGTTATAAAAGTAAAACCTTGGGCGCGAAAGGAATATATTTTAAAAATAATTGATTTGTAAATGTAACATGCATAGAATGATACAAGTAATAGCAGTGTCGGATTAAATGAGAGACCCGAGACAATTCCACTTCTATGGAAGCCTATATACCATTCGTAACTTTTACTTTTCGCCTTTTCAGTAAGCGAAAGTCAGAAATTAGAAGCTACAACACAATGTGAGGCGACACCACGCACACAAAGGACAAATCGACTCGAAAATTGAAAATTAGCGACCCTCATTTTGTCACTTCTTCTTTTCGAGTTCCATTTTTGCTTGTGTAGCGTTATGCCGGAACTTAGTCATATTTTTGTATCGAAAAGTAGAAATTAGCAACCTATCACTTTGGCTCGCTGTCGGGCAGTCCACTTTTCGAGGTTTACCGCGGAAGTTGCTGTAGCCTCTACATTCCATTTCACATTATGTCGCGAATGGTAGTTACAGGTTTCCATACACTTGTGAGGCCCCGCCCCAACCCAATCCATTTCACATTTTGTCGCGAATGGCAGTAACTGTTATAGGCTTCCATATACTTGTGAGGCAACACCCGATCCATCATTTCACAATTTGTCGCGACTGCGTCTCTTTACGTCCTGAGGGGGCGAAAAGTAGAAATTTTTTGAATCGTAGTTATAGGCTTCCATACACTTATGAGGCCCCACCCAATCCCCCACCTTCATGACTATAGGAATATGGAAGAATGTTTTAAACAAAATTAATTAAAACCGAGGAGGTTTACAGAGGTTAAAGACTACAGTGCATTTAATTAAGAAAGGCCCATGAAATTGTCTACAATTCATCTTGACCGGAGTACGCCTAGATGTTGAGGCCCTAGACTGCAACCTGTCAAGACTATAGATAAATCCGGCACAGGTTGAGATATTGACTGGATTAGAAGTGGACTGTCATATAATCTTGTAGCGTTAAAATGGACGCCGACTCCGTAAAATGACTAACAATGAGAATTGGTTTATTATCAAGGGACTAGTACTTGTCAAAACTTCAAACTTCAGAATAAATTAATCAAATGACTCAAATTTCAATAATTTTTCATTATCTATTTTTGAACTATCAAAGCAAGAACTCCTACCTCTTTATCAAAATCTTACATTTATTTATCATTATTTATCTATTTAAATATTTAAAATCTATAAATACTGGTACTTCAGCTGTATCGGAACATATTCGATATATAAAACTACGATTAAATTAATGTGTTGTTGGAATGTTGTAATTAAGTTCAACCAAGAAAATTCTTACGATAAGAGAACAGAATAAATGGCGATAACTAAAAACAAATAAAAATGGATCATAATTGTGTTTTTAGGTGTCAGTGTTAAAGTAATTTTCTTACATTAACGCCTATAATTCATTTTCATGTGGACGTATATTGTCATCGCTCCTGTTTGTCCGTCCGTCCGTCCGGACGTCCGTCCACAATTTGTTTGTGGACACTCTACAGGTCACAATTTTTATCCGATTTCAACGAAAGTTGAAATATAGCTTTATCTCCCTAAGATCTCAGTTCCTTTCGATATTAACATGTATCGGACCACAACTTCATGGATTATGGCCCCTGATTGTACGAAAAATCGCGTTTTTAGCTTGTGGACACTCTAGAGGTCACAATTTTGATCCGATTTTGTTGAAACTTGAAATGTAAGTTTATAACACAAAGATCTCGGTTTCTTTCGATATTTACGCATATCGAATTGTAATTTCCTGAATTATGGCCCTTGATTGTAGGAAAAATCACTTTCTTTTTAGCTTGTTCTCTATCCATCTCTCGAAAATGTGGGCGTATCCTGCCTGGCAGCCGCTGGTTATCAAAATGAACAAAGGAGAGAAATAAAATAATCCTTGAAACAAATTCCTTTATTTATATTAATAATAATAGCCATTGTTATATGCATTGTTATAATATGGTACCGTTGACATATAACCTGAACCGTAGCCATTACCGTATTGGGAATACGAATTTGACGTCATCATCCGGGGATCTTCAAGGACTTCTTCCACGATATATTGACGAGGCTTTTCAATTTCTTCGACTTCTTCAACTATTACAGTTTTTGGAGGAGGTTCAATTGCTAAAAGATAAATGGGGTTAGTTAAACAGAGAACGGACAAGTGAATTTAAGAATGAATCGATAACTAAAATGAATTCTTGTGCGATTTGGATGTTTGTAAACTATTTATTTCCGAACCAAACAATTTTAAGGGTCTAGGGGTTTTGTTTGGGGTAGAATGCTTATATTTTGTTTCAAAATCGTTTTGATGCCTACCAGCAGTTTCTGTAGTAAACCACTCCCTCCAGAATATACCGGATTAAATTGAACCCTTTTTCAGAACGCAGACATTACTTTGAACATAGCTTAAACGCTGATTTAACTCAGGGTAAAGGATGATGTGCAAAATCGATTTCTACAAGTATGTCAAGTGAATAAATTAATTTTTTTAAGATCACAATATTAAAAATGAAAATCAATATATACCCTTTGGTTTTTCAACGATTTTTCTTGGGCGACTGAAAACAGAACAAAGATACTCATTACCGGTTTATGAAATATCGTTTAAATAATTTGCTTGAATATGGCTCTCTGCACAGTGAAGGGACTGAACATAGCAATCAACTTGGACATGTTGTAAATACAAATATAGGTATATTTCTTATGTTTTTGTTATTGTTCCTTATTGATATATGGTTGGGGAGACAGAAAAGACAATATAAAATACCTGCATAACAATCACATATTATTTGTTCTCAAAAAATATTTTGAAACCCTTTAGTGTATGTTTGAATTAAAATTTGGTAGAATTAGGCATACAGTATTTCTTACGCAGATCTATTCTGTATTTAGGACCCATTGCCATGTTATTTTAGCTGTAACAAAATGCCGAACGTCACATACAATTCATTCCATCCGCAAGACATAACGTTGACTTCGGATAATATGCATTCCAAAATTTTTCGTAACAACTGAGAGGGAACGGTTTTTCACGAAAACGAAAACGAATTAAGACTTGTCATTATAGATTGATCAACCATCTTATTATAATAATACGTACTATACTCTACGGTGATAAACTTCCTCTACCTTTTTCCTGTAAATCAGAAAATATCTTAATTTAAAAAAAAAGTAATCATAATGTTGGTGCGAAAATTAAAGGCTCTTAACCATCTCCGGTTGTACTAATGTTATGTTTCTGCATTGTTTTAAATAAGGAAGTGCACTTTATGGGTAAATCGTTTGTCATTAAAGGAAAGCATTGGTTTCAACGTCTAACTCCTATTCGATTTAATCAGGAATTAACTGGTAGTAATTTCACTTTATAAACGTTTACAACATACAGTTAACGCACTCCACGTGATTTGTATGTACTATTGTCGGTCCATCTAACATTGTTGTGTGAATCGTTGACACAGTAAAGTTCCTATTCGACCTTTTTAACATTTTCAAGAATTCGTTTGGTTATAGGGTAGAATCCTGTCGCAACGAGAGGGGTTATAAACGTTTACAACATACAGCTTAATTAACGCTGTTTCAATCGGGTACATATTATACCACTTAAATCTTGGCGTACAAGTCTTTCGTGACGGAGTGCATCAATTAAATAAATTTAAAAACTTACTTTTTGAAACATTCACAGTCACAGAAGCCCTTTCCTTCTCCCCCCGAAAAGCAACCACCCCGGCAACAACAACAGAGCGCTGCTGCCAAGCCGGCCAATCCTAATAAACTTAACAAGGTCGCCAAAAGCGCGACATTGGTCGAATCGTCAATAAGACTTGTAGATGAGGATGAAGAAGTTCCAGAACTGGATGATGAAGAACCACTCTGCAAGAAACCCAAATAGATCAAATAAAAACGTTGACGACGAACCACTCAGAAACAGGTTTAATACAAACGATCAATATTATCAACTGTCTGTGGCCAGTACTTATATATCAGTAAACGTATCAGACACTAGACAATGATTAATACGACTCTTTAAAATCTGATTTGCCACACTGAAACGGAGACCCTAGTCTTATCATAATAAATGTTCCTAAAAGTTTTAAAATTACAAGCATTACAAGCAGGGTCAGTTTTACTTACCAATTAAGAATTAAGGACTATGAATTAAGAACTAAGAATTAAGAACACTGAATAAAGGACTGTTTGGTCTTCCATACAAAACGGGCATAACTCTAAAACTGGTAGGGGTCCACGTATAATGATATATGTTTTCTGGTAGTATCAGAAACATCCTATAAAATGAAATAAGGATTCTCGTCTTGTCACAATACAAGTTTTCTGACTCTCGCAAGATGTAATTACAATATACGTCGAAATTAACATGCGGCCAATTCCAGCATTCTAGCTACCGTTATCGGCCAGGAACAAAACGGGATACCACTGTAATCAAAATATAACACTGACTTGTACTTGAACGGGAAGTTGAAGGAATACTTACAGTTCCACTGTTGTTGATAACCTGAACGTTTTTAGTCGGAGCTGGAGTCGTGGTTGTAGTTGTTTGAAACTGTACTGCAACCGTTGCCGTAGAAGTTCTCTGTGGTGATCCTTTATCTTTGGCTATAACCTCTAAATAATGTGTTTGGCCAGCTAGACTATAATCATATTTATTTGCATACATGATCTGAAAAGTCGAATCGTTAGAACTTTACTTCGTTTTGAATTGAATATTTTATTGGTGTATACTTTATTATTATGCGTGTAACTACCTCTTTAGGAATTATCTCTTCTCTCTAAATGTCTCATTTAACCAATATGATTGGTTAGCAAGTTCGTTATGTACTTTGTACCAGTATGATGTCACCGTAGTTGTCTTGGAATTGAGACCCCCCCCCCCAAAAAAAAAATAAAAAAAAAATTAAAAAATAAACAAAAAGAAAAAAAACAAACGAAATACGTCAATTAGTGCGCAAGTATCCAAGGAACAAGCGTGTTAAGCCGCATGCCGATTGTACATGAATTGTCGGAGCGTTGGGCCTTTTCCGAAGACACTCCCTCCCTTCACATAGAAGAACAGCAATATGCAATATGCAGAAGATGAGTTGTGCATGGATACCAGTTCCTAGTCCAAAAATAATAAGTATTTGGTTAGATGATCGGTTCGGGACACCTATAACACCTTTCTCAACTATACCGTAGTGCACATAGTAACAACATCAGAAGCGAAATAGAAACAAAAGATCACAGTTGGGGGTGATAAATCCACGATCTGCAGTCATAAAATTCATCATTTCATCAGGGTTCATCTTTAGGCCCGAAGCAAAAAATCTTAATTGTATCCCAATAGTTTCACGGCTCACATTTCATTCCGTACCCCTAATCAATACCTTGTTCAGTTAATTTTACTGACAATCAATGACGATGAACCCGGTTCATTTGTTAATGTTTCAAACATGAATTTTAAATACTACCTCCCCCGTGTTGAGAACGTTAACGTAGGCCAGTGCCGAGGCCGATCCACCACTCAGGGTATACGTCACTTCCCCATTTTTATCACTATCAATATCATCTGCCGTTACTGAACCAAGAATACCTAAAACAAATATTTGCATTTAATTCAGTTGAAATTAAGTAAATTTTGCGACTATCTATTTTGATGATTGTGTCTGTTTTTTGTTTCAATATTTTCTGCGCGTATGTTTAATGTAACTCAAGCAAAGGATGGAACTGAGTCGGCATTTTGGACTAAACATGGATATGTGCTAGCATCTAGAGCAATATCTATATCCGCATACAGTTAATGTAGGGAAAGAGTTAGCATTTCAGACTAAACATGGATATGTGTTAGTATCCAGAGCAGTATTTGCAAGCGCATTCCAAGAAATAAAAAAATACAGTTTAGGAGGTAGATCTGTGACACTGGTAATGGAAATAGAAATCAAAACTTTATTACTGCACCTAGTCCTGTATCGGCACCAACAGAAATGGATTGCTGCGAGTTTAAACCAAAATCAGGATCATTGTCGTTTACGTCCCGCACATTGATTTGTATCTGGGATGTACCGGTCTTTCCACGACTATCTACAGCTGCAACGGTTACCACTGCAGTAGCAGGCATGGCATTCTGATCTACGTCATAATTTGTGTTAAAGGTTAATTTGTTGGTATTTTGATCTAATCTGAAACGTTCGCTGTTGTTGCCTGGTAACAGAATGGTGTTATAACTTTGACCTTCCTCGTCTGTTATAGCTATTGGCAGATCGCAATTAGAAACTCCCGCCTGTGAATAAAAATACACGACAGATAATGTTTGCTATGGTATTTGTGCCATAATTAAGTATAAATAGTGGTATACTACCATGGCTACTGAATTGCCTGGGAAAGGCAATGAATTCTAAGAACGTTAACCCTCTTATAATTTACTCTCGACAATGTATACGGAAAAGGAAATAAAACGCATTATTCGTTTAAATTTGCAATTTTAAAATTAAAGTCGAACATAGATGTACATCCCAGCTACTTTGAATTATGCCAGAACCTTTCTTAGCAAGGTTGTGTTTTGATCTCTTAACAGAAAAATTTAATTAAATGATTTACAATGAACGCCACGCGGGTAATATGGTTAAGATTTCAGGTGAACGCGTGCTCATTGAACTGAAATGGGCTTAAAGACAAGTTGCAGGATGTAATCCCCAAACATATTATATTGCTTTAATCTAAAGTGTAATCTTAATTGTAAAAGCAATTAGTAAACTAATCTCGTGGTCCATAATAAATATTACGGTACACTGAAAAACTCACATTAGATTCATATAAATTACATGTATATAAATCTTTATTAAACGTTGGTGCTTCGTTGATATTTTCTACAAACAGGTTAATATACGCTCCCTGGCTATCTAAATATCCATCATTTACTACACAGGAAATATTATAAAAATTGGTGGATTCGTAATCTAGTAATGTATCACCATCGGGAACTGCTACCAACTTCAGTTTGTTACCTTTACAAATATAAACAGATCATGGGTACAGATATTATATTGGATTGACAATCATTAAAGGGGAAAAACTCAATATTAACAAAATATGGGTCTCATATTTGGTATTTATGGATTTTTAATTCGATTCCTCTTTAGGATAAAATGACTTTTAATTTGATTGTAATTCATGGTCAATGGACTTTTAATTTGATTGCTCTTTATGGTCGGTGGACCTTAACTTTGATTACTATTTGTTATTTTTGATCAGAGTATGGAAGTGTTTTTCACCTACTTTCTAAGCTGAACTTGTAACTTTCAGAATTCGGGAACACTGAACAAACAGGAACCAAATTATTAGTTTCAAGTGAGATTATGGTATCACCGGCCTTGGCGTCTTCTGATATCGTTAAATTGGTAGGAAGATTAGTAATGACTGGTCGTTGATTCAGATCTAGAATAACAAAAAAAAGGTGGTTAGATAAAAAAAAAAAAGCAATTGTTTCTAAGCACTAGTCGTAGCGCAACATCCAAGGGAGAAATTCGTCTTAACCAATGTCGATATAAGTGGACATGCCATTCCAACGTGAAAAGTAATACAATATATTTCTATATTTAACCCTAATTTGTTTTTATATTATGGTGTCTTATGGTGCCTTTGTTCCCAATTTTGAGCCTTCTTTATTTCAATTATTCTCTTCGAAGAAAACCAGAGAACTACGAGACAACCACTTCTTGCCATGTACGAATCTCGGATTGAAACTTCGCTGCTTCACCAACTGAGACCTTACGACCTAACGCATACCCGTGGCCGTTAGACCACTCGGTCGCCAAAATCACCCACGACTGACCGTACACCTGACCTGAGTTATACACATAATCTAACCTGTTAATCTAACCACAACTATCATTGGTCCAACTTCGTTTTTTCCATCTGTGACATTTATTTTTAACGGAATGGTGTCCACTGTTGCATATTTTAAATCTATGGCTGTTTTAATTTCTCCAGTCGCTGAAAAGAAGCATACAAGCATTTCGATCCCAGATTCGATCCCAGTATTGGCCGAAAAAAGTTCATCGGGTTTTTCGCCATGGTTTCACCTTGTGGTGCAGGGTGGAGGGCATGGCAAGGAATGGGACAAAAAAAGAACCTAGGTCCCGTGTA